CCCTGCCTCTTTTAAGTTTATAGTGGTTGTCCATCCTAGGCCTCCCCTCCGTTTGCAAAGCACTAACACAAGTGAAGGGAGTGATCCTCACCTCTCTCTTTACAGCCCTTATTCATCTCAGCTTAATTAGCTTTCCTCCTAAAAAGAGGAGTTTATTAGTCTGATTGTTTAGTCGTAGGGACTGTCATTGGGCCTGCTGTAATAGCGGGTATTGTCATGTCCATCAACAGCGACCATCTGTGGTCATTACCTTATTGCTCCAAGTCCTTTTATTTGCATGGTGTGTATACTAGAACGATCCAAAGGTGTCCACAACCCTAGCTTTTTCTGTAGACTCAAGCAACTATGCAGGGCATAAAAGCCACACTGCTTTGCCTATAATCAATATAAACTGGCATTTGTCATAGCGTGTCATTCAAAATCATTAGACATTTGCTCTGCTGCTGAGGAATGTGCTTTGCTCTCATTTCCCGTCAGCCCATCACACACTTTGGCTTTCAGTTAGTGACATCAGAAACAAGAAAGGATGGGTCAATGCATTGCTTAAGCCCTACTCTTCATTCTTGGAGACATCTGGCCAAGAATTGGACTGCAAACTGGACTGTGCTGTACGACCTGCTTCTCATCTCTACTGTGAATAAACTTTATTGATGCATTAGTTTTAACTGCTTGGAAGCTGGTTCTTTCTTTCCCTTGTCTGGGAAGCCCTGGTTTCCTGATCACTAAACAATTATCAGGGTCCTGGATGCAGACTGGAGACCCTCGTCCTACCTGTGACCTTCAACTCCTAGAAGCCCATTTCCCAGTAGGCAATTCAGGAGTGAAAGGCGATTCCATCATGCAACCTCAGTGCCTTGACTCGACTGAGAGCATCCTGTCTCTCCCCTAGCACATGGCCACTTCCTTTCCACAGCTTCCAAAGCACTTTTTCAAAGGAAGACCTGTTGTTCGTCTGAAAATGAATTGCTCTCAGTGCTTAATGATGGTGTGTTCCCCGAAATCTGTAAACTTCCCTTTAATCATGTTTACTTGTTTGCCCAGCTCATCCTTTTCTGAAGAAAATCTCATAGTAAATTTCAAGTCCATGACCTTCCTGAAGTACGCAGTATTATAATCAAGGAAACTACTTGGCGTTTGCTATTTCCTGGAGTATCTGAAAAAGCAGTGGTAAGTTAGAAAGAGGCAGTTAGGAAAGAAAATTTAGAGAAAATAGAACATATTTCATTGCAACTAATTTAAATCTGTTGATTTAAAAATCTATGTGGCAGGGAAAGAATCATCTGTATCAAGGAAGGCTGTGGCTAGGAGAATAAATGTACATGAGAGCCTACTCTGTGACCAGCTGGTTAGGGGTTAAATTATGCTTCACGAAGTGCCCATGTCAAACCTAACCCCAGTACCTGAGAATACGACCTTATTTGCAAATGGGGCCTCTACAGATGTAATTAGGTTAGGAAGTAGTCATACTGGAACAGGAAGGCTCCCTGTTCCCATACAGATAGTGTGACAGACAAGTTCATAGGGAGGAGGCCTTGGGAACATAGAAGCTTCTGGGCTATGTCTGTATAAGTCACACAGTATTAAAGACTGCAAGTCATCTGGTGATGGCCAGAAGACAGAGAGGGCCTATGGAATAGACCTTGTTGACAGCCTCAGGAGGCATCAGCCCAGGTAACACCTTGATCTGTGGACTCCCAACCTCCAGACTATGGAACAATGAGTGTCTAGTGTTTACGCCATCCAAGGGTTGGCACTGGGTTACTGAAGCCCTTGCTTGGGAATACAAGTATCAGGCATTATTTTAGAAATTTGTTTAAAAATTAGAGTAGCATGGCCCAGCGCGGTGGCACAGTGGTTAAGGTCCTCGCCTTGCATGCCCGGGATCCCATACGGGCGCCAGTTCTAATCCCGGCAGTCCTGCTTCCCTTCCAGCTCCCTGCCTGTGGCCCGGGAAAGCAGTCAAGGACGGCCCAAAGCTTTGGGACCCTGCACCCGCATGGGAGACCCGGAAGAGTCTCCTGGCTTCAGATTGGTATAGCATTGGCTGTTGCACTCACTTGGGGAGTGAATCATCAGACGGAAGATCTTCCTCTCTCTCTCTTCTCTCTGTATATCTGCCTTTCCAATAAAAATAAAATAAATCTTTAAAAAAAAATTAGAGTGGCAGAAAGAGAGAGAATGAGAGAATGAGAGAGGACTTCTTTCTGCTGGTTCACTCCCCAAATGGCCACAACAACCAGAGGTGGACCAGCCCAAGGCGAGAGCTTTTCTGGGACTCTCACTAGGTATAGTCTTCTGACTTCCCAAGCACATTAGCAAGGGGCTGGATTGGAAGTGGAGCAGCTGGGACTCAAGCTGCCATAACTGCAGGTAGAGACGTAACCTACGCTGCCACAATCTTGGCGCTGATGGCATTTATCATTATCCCCACTTGCAGAAGAAACTGTGCTTATAAATTGGTCAAGGTTTAATGGGTCATGGGTAGAGCTATAAAACCACTTCCTTCTTAACTTCAAAATCGGTGCTATTACCAGAACAGAAAATTGCCCCTGCCCACCACACAGAAAGGAAAGGGGAATTTTGTAGGAAAATGAGGGCAAAGGGATGGGAAGGCAGCTGGAAGTTCCCGTGAACTCTCTCCTGCTGGCTGGGGTGCAGGGGTGCCAATCAGTGCAACTACCCTCTCAGAACCTCTCCATTCCTCTCTTTCCTACTTCCTGGTATAAAGGACTTTGCTCTGGTAAGACACCAAGAGCTTCACACCAGCTCCTAAACTCTCCTCTTAATAATCCAAGTTCTTTATTCCCCAAGCCTTACATTTGATTAAAGTAATTCAAGACCAAGGTGTAAATGACTCATAACCTTTAATTTGTTATTCTGCTCAGGGCTTCTTCTATTTATAACACGTAGCTGGGACAAAATTAGTCTCTTCTCTTTCCTCTTCATTGCACAATTGAAGGACCAGTAAATGAAACATAGCTTGCTCCCTGAATGAGGTGAAACATTCCATTATACTATCAATTTAATTTGCATGTTTTTGTTATTTTAGCAAATTCTTCTTTATTGACAGTGATCACCCCAGTGCAAATGTTTGTATTCTCAAACATGAAGTCCAACTTAATGGGCTATGAAATTTTTAATCAAATATATCATATGTTTGGCATCATATAACAGATAAATACAATAGGTAGTGAAATAACATTTGAGTATTTCAAACTGCTTAACTTTCTAGATATTTGCACTATTAGGATGTTAAGAGATACTCAGCCTTTCAAGCAGATGACTTGGAAAAGACTGGATACAAAATACCTGGTTTCATCAATGTTCCAGTAGCTAGAATCTTCTAGACAAGAAGTTACAAAGTATAGGAGACTTAGTATAAGAAGAAAAGCAATCTACATCCTATGTACAGGGTAGCTACAGTTCAAGAGTAACCTAGCATTACCAGGAATGATTGAGGGCATATCACTCTCAAATATTTCAGTACTTCAAGAAAAGTGAGAAATATGGAATATCTTGGTGAACTCTATTTTTAAAATTTGGTATATTACATTTCCATTTGGACTGTAAGAAATAATCAAAGTGGTAGTGTTTATTACCTTCATGACTTTCGGCCTCAAAGAGTGCACTTAAAGCTGTGTGTAGCTTGAGGTCACAAGTTCTAAAGTCAAGGCGGTGTCAGGCTTGGTTCCTCCTAGACGCCGGGAGAGCCCGTTCCCAGAGTTACCTACAGCCCCAGGTTCTTGACTTTGCCTCACATAACTTTTCCTCCCCATATCTGTCACCAAGTCACCTCCTCTTGAATCTGACCCTTCCAACTTCCTCCTAGAAAGATCCTTGTGAGGACTTTGCATCTACTTGTGTAATAATGCCTAATCCTTTACTTTTTGAGGGGCCGCACAATATAGTGATGAATTTATTCAGCTCTCCAATCACTACTGTTAAGGTTAATTTCATGTGCCAATTTCAGTAAGCAATGTCAGAGAGCTGGTGAAACACCTCTTCTGGTTGGGTGTGCAAAGCTGACTCTACTCTCCAATGGGAAAGGCATCACCCATTTCCTTGAGACCGCAGACAACAAAGGGCATGGAAGAGTGAGTCATTCTCAGTCTCGCTCTTCCCCCACATCCCTCCCTCTCTCACCTTGAGCCAAGACAGCTAACCTTTCCTGTCCTTAAACACTGGAGCTCCTACTTGCTAGTCTTAAGGCTTTGGGTCTCTCGGGTTTGTATCAGTGGTGATAGGCATCAGAAGTGTGACTGATTTACAACACTGGCTTTTTTAGTGTCCAGTTTGCCATGAATGGTTGGAGTGTTTGGACTATAGGGCCTTGTGAGCCAATTACCATGATAAATGTCCTTTATTTTTCTATGTGTGTCCTGTTGATTCTGTATCTAACTTGAACTTGTACAGCTCCAAAGGCATGTACAAATTCAGCCTACAGGAGTTCAACTAATCTCCAGTGTTCTTCAAATGTTTGACATTTCTCTGACATGTCAACGTGACCTGAGATGTGAGAGTGGACCATTAACTATTGTATGAGTAGTTTCTGTCCACAAAATGGCTTTGTGGTGCTTGTTGTTATTCATCCTGGGCTAACTGGTGACGGTCATGAGGGAATATCATCTCTTTTTAAATAAGAAATAGGTACCAAATAAGATTCGGACTTCTAATATAAATGATACAAGAAGAGGGAAAGATGTGATTAAAAAAACTGAACTTCTATGGGAGAAAATTTTATGAGTTATCTACAAGAAAGAACTGTCAGCAAAATTCCAGATTTCCATAATAACCCTCTAATTCTAACAAGCTCTTCCCATTCCTCAACCCTTTACAAATTCCAGCCAACTCTGGAAAAATCACCCAGTGGAAATCCTCATTTGGAATTTCTACCTTCCACATGTCATGGTTGCTACTTTACATCTGTATCCTTGGTAACTCATAAAGGTCAGGGTACAGCAGGTGTTCTGCAGATGTCAGCTGAATGACTGAACTCACACTGAACCACCTATTTCTTGGGCCTGGCACACTGTACACTGCATGAAGAATGCAGAGACCGCAATCCATGAGCTCCGTCATGCCACTCTTCACCCAGTCCCATCTCTCTTCACTGCATAGGAACTGTCCAGACTTAGCTCCCAGAAATGGGTGAAAGGCTGCTTCCCGTCTGTGATGCTCACAGATAATTAAATTAGACTCCTTATGAGGTGGGCAAAGTTATTTCACACTTTCATTAACTCCAAAAGGCTATTCCAATTACAGTCTGTGTTTGCTAAACAAGTTATCTTGGATTTACAGCCTTTACTTACTTCCTTCACACCCAGAAACATGTCCTTTGGAGGGATGCTGACAGAGAATAGAAATTCATATATTTTTAAAAAGCTGGTTGTTGAAAGGCAAATGACATTATTATTAACTTCAGAAATAGCAAGCTTTTTTTTTTTTGGTTGGGAGCTGAAATCTATGTTTCTATAGTCTCTGTTTTGTTTTCAGAGGATATCTGGCAGGTGTATCTGTGGGTTTCCTTATCTACTTCTTCATTTTATTTATTCTTCAAAAGAGAAAGCCACAAGTTATTTGAAAGGAGAAAATATTAGAATGTAGAGAGTATTGGCCTTCAGCACCACATCATCTAGAGTTGTGATCTGGCTCTGTCGTTATTCGGTTATGTCAGGCAGCATCATACTATTTGCTGCGTAAAGGTAACTTGGCCATTATTTTGGCTGGATCTTTCAAAGTCTTAACACTAAACAACCAAACAAGAATTGAATGTTTAGGAAATCCTAAAACTGTATTGCCAAGGACAGCCAAATTTCCAAGTATGCTTATTCTACTTAGTTTAAACTTCATAGAATTTGACACAATTGGAAATAACCTTTTCTTCCTCAGGCTGCCTGGCACAAGAGAGCTGATTTGGTATTAAGAACATAAATCTGTTCTGCCATTTATGGTTTGCAACTCAGTTCTGGTGTCTTCCCTGTGACCATGGACTCGTTACTTACTGTCCATTGCTTCCATTTCCATGTCTGTTAAATGGGCGTAATCAAGGTCCCCTTTGCAGAGGGCTAGGAGTAGAATGCCATTAGACAGACATAGAAGGGCCAAACATCAGAGCGGACAAGAAGATGTTCTTTCAAAATCAGTGTTTCTCAAAATTTCAACTGTAAATCTCCTACATCAGCTGGGCTGCTTGTTCCAAAGTTACAATGTGTCTACCCCTCCTAGGATGTGACTGCTCAAAAGCGCTGAGAATGTTTTCCAGAAATTACACCGAGAGTGAGGGCTGCCAACACGCCCTTTGCATCCGCTGGGGAACAGTCAAGATAAGTGTCAAGAACAGTCACTCTCACCATTGTGTTTACAGCACCTAGTTTTCACCTGTGATTTACAAAATCCAGTCTCCATGAGTTGCTTGCCCTCAGTACCACTGGATATCCGTTAAAGAACAGATTCCTGAAGGAGGAGCATTGTGCTGGAGTGGGTTATGTCCATTCTTGGGATGGCAGCAGACCACATCCGAGTGCTACTTTGAGTCCTTTCTACCCTCATTCTGATCCAACTTCCTGCTAGCACATCCAAGGAATGGCTGGATTGCTTAGGCCCCTGTCACCTATGTGGGAGACCTGGAGGGAGTTTCAGATTCCTGGTTTTAGCTGGGTTCAGTTGTGGCTGTTGCACACTTTGTGACGTGAACTAGCAGACAGAAGATCTCTAACTGTCTCTCTCAAATACATGAAATAAAATAAAAACAAACTAACAAACTGACCCTTGATATTTAGGCAGAGATTGCATCTATTTTTCAGAATTATTAAGTTTGGTAATACAGCTAGTTTTAAAGGCTCTATTCTCCGGGTCCAGCTCATCTCTCATTCAATCTTTAACAATTCTAACATGTCTAGTTCTTCCTACTCCACACATTAGGTTCATTACATATTTATTTGGTTGGATCATCCAGGCATACGCATCTTAAGTGAGGAAGAATCTGGCAGCATTCTTTATATCAGCAGGTATACACTTACTACTTATGAAACAGGAACAATATAAATGTTATCTATAAATAGAAAAAATAGGGTCGGTTGCTGTGGCACAGTGAGTTAAACTACCAACGGTGACATCTGCAGTCCATAAGAGTGCTGGTTCATGTCCCTGTTACTTTACTGCCCATCGAAATCTCTGCTAATGTGCCTGGAAATCAGAAAAACAAAAAAATGCCCTGAATGCCAGAGCCCTTGCACCTGTGTAGGAGACCTGGATGGAGTTCCAGGCTCCAGGTGCAGGTTGACCACACCCTAGCTATTGCAGTCATTTGGGGAGTGAACCACTAAATGAAAAAAAATATATTGGAATCTTAATTTCTGTTTCTGCTTTGTAAATCTATCAAATAATATTTTAAAAAGATAGAGAAGAATAACTGTGAAAATATAAGGTGACACACATTCTTGTTTCTCATTCTAATCCCTTTCCTCCCTTAATATTTTCTTTGTTGGCAACATAGTACTTCTTGGAGTTAAAAAAAAAATCATGACAAGAATTACAAAGACGTTTGCACATTCTACAAAAGCTCAACAAAATCAAATGAGACACATGAAGGCAACGCTCCAAATGAGAGCACAGGTCTGACTGAAACCTTTCTAAATATGGACATTTTCTGCAGGATCCTGGGCCTTGCCTGGCTTTTACTAATAGTTCTCTTATAAAGTTACCATCCGGCTAATGAAATAAGGAGGTACGGAACTGAATTTAGAATATTGATAATGCAGAGACTAACTTTATGAACAACTGAAAAAGAACATTACTTTCTTGCAACATTTGTATTTCTGTCTTGCTTTCAGATGTCCTTGAAACTCAACCTTTATTTAGCATAAGCTGTGTAACTGGCCCTGTTCTGGGAGATTCAGTGCCATTTAATGCTGGTACAAGGCAGACAAAAGAGGGACTAGCAAATAAACAAACATAAAAGAATAAAGTTGGCAAGAGTTACAAAGAGATAAAATACAGTGCTCTGATTCAAATATGCAATAAAATATAGTAAAAGTAATCATTTATTTATAGCCAATGACAGATCGTTCAGTGTTCTCACTAGGATGAAAGTTGTTTGCATCTAAATTTTGTCGTCCATGACATTAGTCACTCAGTGCCAACTAAAAAAAACCTCAGGCATTGCCTTAATGTTTCTGAAATATCGGTATAAGTTGCAAAATTCTGTCATCGACTGTCCTCATTGAGACCAGGTCATTGGGACAACCCAATTCTGGACTAGGAACCTCCAAAAGCATGAACCTGGGTAAGTCTTCCTCCATAAGTAGCTTCTCTCACGCCTTGGTTATAGTGACAAAATGCTAGCACAGTTGCGTTCTGTGACATTAGCTCATTGTTTCTGACCACTTGTGTGGCATGAAGGAGAAAGTTGTCAGCTAAAGGTGAGGATAGTATCGTTATCCATATAACTGGCTTTAATTCTCAAGAGAGGTGAGCCATGTTGCAAAAGCAGAGCCTATGGAGCGTTCCATCTTTTCCCTTTCTGTCTCTGACACCACTCCCAGCTTTGCCTTTCTTAATTTGCAAATAGTGTCACTTGTTGATCTTTTCAAGGTAGAGATCAGAGTGTTCGTTGTACCAGCAGCTGTTCACCTTCCAGGTTTCACTTTACCTTGCTCAGCAGGTGCTTGTCATCCTTGACAGCATCATAATCTCATTTGTAACCTACACCTGCCACTCATTTCATTTTACTCTTTTTCTAAGCCTCATAAATATTTTTTCATTGACTGGACTAAGCAATGATCCTCAAAGTAAATGCCATGCCTGACTCAGCATTATCCCAACCAGAATGCTGCATGTGTTTCCTGACTTGCTCCCTCTTAGTCTCATGTGTAATGTTACAGAATGAGCATTTCGGGATTGAGATAGGAAAACATCATTCACATTTGAAAAAAAAATTTAGACATGGCAAACTACTCGTAGCAGAATATGAGTAGAAGTTTATGAAACCAAATCAATGACTTCTAAGGTTTATATGCATTTGTATTAAGTCATAATAATAAGAGTATGCTTTGAGTATTTTCTAAGCACTAGACATTTGTTCCATATGTTATCTTATTAATTCTAAAGATGGCTGGAAGATGTATATGATTATTATCCAAACTATAAAATTAAGTAAATGACTGCAGAGACATTTGCAGCCCTTAGCCAGATGTACACAGCTATTTTAAATTACCTTTTACATTACTATGTATTTTCTTTAAGTTAAAGACTTTGATTATTTATTTAAAAGGTAGAATTAGAGAGAGAGAGACATAGGTAGAGAAAAAGATAGAGCTTTTCTATCACTAGTACAATCCCCAAATGGCTGCAATCACCAGGGATTCGGCTGGGCCAAAGCCAGGATCTTGGAACTCCATCCATGCCTCCCACACAAGTAGCAGACAGCTGAGTACTTGGATCATCAGTTATTGCTTCTTTTTCATGCATGTTAGCAGGAAGCTATATCTGATATGGAGCAGCAGGAATTGAAACAGCCATCATGAGAATGCCAGCACTGTAATCAGCACTTAACCAGCAACACCAAATCCTGAAGTCAATTCTTTCCTTCTAACTTTAGGAATACCTGTTCTCCTTGCCACTCTATCTGAAATCATCTGGAAAACACTAAGAATCTTGCACATAAAAATGAGTATCCTAAGCGTATCACCTTGCCTGTCTAGAGAAGTGAATACATGGAACTAATTATAAAGACATTGGAACAGCAGAAAAGCAGAGGTAGGATAAGGAGTCAATCCACAGGTTAGCAATGGCTTCTGGCCCTTACAACGCTACAGCTGAGGACGCAATGAAAGGAGGTGATGCTGTTTCAGCTCAGGAGATCGCACCACCAGTGGGATTCCGACACAAAGCAGGAACTGCAGATGGGACCTTGGGTGGTGGAGAATGTAGGAGCTAGAACAGATGAGCCATAGCTATTCCTATGATGTCCTTTGAAACACAGAGGAGGAAAGACATCTCTTGGTGTCACTGCGCTCTTACC